TAGGTGCCTCAGAAGAAAGTCCTGGCAATCTACTTCTGAAAAATCAGCCACTGAAAACCCTATGGAGCACAGTTCTACTCTGACACACATGGGGTTACCATGAGTCAGAACTGACCCAAAGACAACTCATTTTCTTTCTTTCTTTTTTAAATCTTGAACTGGAGTCCCTAAACTAGAATGCTAGAACTAATAAAAACTGTGCCTCGAGGTAAATGTTCTACCGAAACCAAAAACCCATTGCCATGGAGTTGATTCCGACACATAGCAACTCTATAGGACGGGCTAGAACTGCACAATAGAGTTTCCGAGGCTGTAAATCTTTACGGAAGCACACTGCCACATCTTTCTCCAACAGAGCAGCTGGTAGGTTTGAACTGCCTACCTTTTGGTTAGCAGCTGAGCTCTTTAACCACTGCGCCACCAGTGCCCAAATGTTGTACAGTGGCCTAGTAATTTAGGAGTACACAGATTGCAACATTGACCTCCTCGCCCCACCACCACTTTCACAAAGGTATGTGATCATTTCCACAAAAGAAGTGCAAATAAAAAGCTAAGGGGTTTCAAAGGAAAACTAATTCATGCCTGGCTATAGGAATTAGGGAAGGGACTATACGAGTACTTTGTAAAATTTGGTTATAAAGTTTTACATGCTCAGATAAATGTGCTTCAAACAATATTTTATATCATAATGATTCAATAAATAAAAATAATTTAGTCAGTTTGTGATTTTTTGAAACCATATTAAATATTTATCCACAGATAAATTCAAGCACACACACATACACACACTTTTACATGTATGCACTCTCCAAGAGAATAATTAAGGAAGTACATGAGTCTATTTTCATACATTTTCCATTTTATTGTTATGAGCAGCTCATTCCAAGGTAACTGGAACAAAGTAGTTAAGGGACATTGAGGGGATAAAGATAAAATACAATGGCACTAGTCGTGAGGAAGCCAATCTCTTTGGATTGTTGTTTTCTTTCCCAAGTGAGCAGACAGGGTTGAGTGGCTTTTGTTTTGGGGTTCTTTTTTCTTTGTTTGTTTTTAGTTTGGAGATATGTATCTGATGAAATTATTAAATAGGGCAGATGAAGGTTGCACAAAAGGATTTAAATACCCCAATGAAAAATGGGAAAAAAAACTCAGCAGAAAAATTCCTAGAGAAGAAATATAAATGCTCAGTAAGCATATTAAAAAAAAAACTTCAACCAAAAAGTAACCAATATAACACAAATTAAGACAATTGTAAAAAAAAAAAATAGTTTTCCACTATCAAATAAGCACCCATTTAAAAAATAATAGCAGTCACTGTTACCAACATCCACTAAAAGAAAAATTTCTGTAAACTGCTGGTGGTAGGATAAATTGGCATAGACTTTTGGTAAGAAATTTAATAATGTATATCAAGAGCCGTAAAAGATTTTACTGTTTGATTCATTCCCCTTCTAGAATCTTTCCTGAGGGGGAAATAATTAAACAAATGTTTATGATGACAAAATTTGGGAATATCTTTAATGACCAACAATAGAACTGTTAATGTCAATTCAGTGTATCAGTGGCATTTATGCCACCATTAAAAATGATGTTTAGAGAGGCAGGGCCAAGATGGCGGAGTAGTCAGATGCTTCCAGTGGTCCCTCTTACAACAAAGACCTGAAAAAACAAGTGAATTGATTATATATGACAATCTAGGAGCTCTAAACATCAAAGGCAAAGATGAGGAATTGGACTGAGTGGCAGGAGGAGGGAGAGATGGTTTGGAAGCAACAAGAGGTTGCTAGACCTGACCTGGCGGGAGCCAGAGTCCTTCAACCTGGATGAGCCTGGGGTGTGCAGTGAGGCAAGCAGTGACACTCGGAAGGCATTTTCCACACTGGGAGAGACCCAGGGGCAGAGAGTCCACTCGGCCATCCAGAACCAGTGACAAGCAGCCTTGGATCAGCAAAAGATAAGTATTTGTGTCTGGCCTACCGTGTGAATCAAAAATATCTCCCTTAGGGAAAAACCTTTCTCCCATTTAAGTCCCTGCTCCCTGTTCTGAAATGGGTCCAGGAAAGCTTCAGCGATTGCTAAGCCCCCTGGGCAAGAAGTAGGACCTGTCAAGCGCCTTGAGCCATTCTCCCAGCCTCGGAGAGGGAACAAATTAACAAATGGGAAAAAAATACTCTGCTGGCTCCCCTAAGCCAGGAACTCAGGGTAGGCACAGCTCCTTTGTCTAAGCACAAGCATAAGGGATCCATGGACTTTGAGTGCCTTTCCCCCGCAAAGACACGCGTGGGCCCATTTCAACAGCATAGGTCCTCATTACTACAGTACAACAGGGTATATTCCTGAAGTCTAACTTTAGCT